AATATTTTGAAGAATTTTCAAGTACTCAGGTTATTTAAAATTCATTAATTACCGTACATCCACTGTATTCATTTCACTAGATGCTTCTACTTCATCAGTAAAAACAAAACTCTTTAGAAAATTATGAATACCCTTCGCATGTCATTTGCGTAGAAGTTGAAGTGACAGTGGACAGGACTTGTTGCAGTACCAATCGACAAGTCATCGTTGGGCTAGAGAGATCTCTGGGTTCCAAGAGACAGTAAATGCCGGTAGGAATATCTACAGACCGAAAATATGATGAGCTGAGGAACTTCGCTGGATCAAGGTACATGAATAAGGCAGACAACAGAAGTTGATAGTAAAATTTTTGAAAGGCCTTCCTCAAACAGTCGGTCGAAAAACGATGATCATCATAATCTGAACAGCCCTGAATATAAGTTCGTACATCTGAATATGTAATGGCTCTCATGAGAACTTGGGAACAACAGAACGGTTCTCATAAGCACCAAGCAGAACATAAATATCACGGGAATCACCCAAAACCAGCAGATGCGAGGAAAGATGATACAGAATGCAGTCCAGCGCTTGAAGCGATGACAGCGGACCGATTTTATAATAATTTTATATAAATTGTCAATCAGATGTCTACGTTCAACTGCGCAGAGGTAGCTTAGATAGAGTACCGTTTAACTGCCGTTTTGCAAATTGGCGGATGACAAAGTCCGCTACAGTAATGTTTGCAAAAATTACCGTAGAAATAGCAAAACTAGCTATGAAGTTTAGATGTACAAAAAAGTAGCTAAACTAGCTGAAACCGCAGCGTTTCGAAACTTGATTATTACCTGCTTAGCATTAGCAGCGATGATTCTAGAAAAATAAACGTTAACGCAAATAATAATAGTTTTCAGATACATTGATGCGACTATCGAACGGCAACCTCCTTACCGATCGTCGTGTAGATGGTGCCGACGTAGAATAATGCTCCCCACATATCCCAGGTGATTTCGCCGCCGCGAGGTAGCGGTCCCTGCAGGTTCTGTTCGTACCACAAGATCAACTTCCTGCTCAGGCGAATTTTCGTGTCCTTTTCGTACCTCCTCGACAGAAGAATCCTGGCTAGTCGTTGCACGGCTTCGTTCTGCACTTCCTTCAGCCGTCGTTGCCTCAGCTGCAGCTGCTCCGTTTCGTGCTGCCGCTCGACCACTTGCATGATCGCCGCTCCGAACAGGGAATAGGCGATGAGAATGGCGATCGGTATGATGTGCCTGATGCCAAAGCGTTCGTAAAAGGGGGACAGATGACGCAGCAGCTTTTTGATCTTGAAATGGGATGCGCAGGTTCGAGCCCCAACGAGGACGTACTTCGGAGAGTGAATGTCATTCATCGCCTTCCTCTGCCGTCTGCTTCTCGGCGATTCGCCTCCGCGATCGGCACATTCGTCTTCTGAAACAAGAACCGACATCGGGGGCGCGTCGTTTGATTGGTAGGCTCTGAAAAACGACCACAGCCTTTCACGAACACGGACGAATGACAGACAGAATTTCTGGCATAACGCAACGAACAAACACTCTCGTTTAAGGCAATACTCCTGATTTTCTGTAATAAGCTCGACGAACTCAAACTGGTGTACGGGCAAAGTTAGGCTTGCTAACTTTTGGGAGCTGAGCGATTTTCAATTTATCAGAAAATTTAAGTTTTGTTTCTTTCCCGGAAAATTTAATTCTATTGGCTAGAAGACTTATTTCAATGAGGCACGAATTTCTATCGTGAGACTCAGTGCTCAACCGTTGGTAAATTGCCAATCATAACGTTTTCCTCACAGAAATGGGCGTTTAGTTCCCGGGAATGGACAATAGCAATCGGAAGCTGTTTTGTTCAAGATTGGTCAGGGTTTATTCACTGACATCTTAGTCATCATTTTAGTTACCGTTACATGCACACAACACGCTTTTCAAGTTTAGCCCCATGAGAAAGTTAGCAGACCAGGTCGAGTTCGATACTGTCGACTGTAGCCTCTTCTGTACTTCACATTGTTTGATGAGTCTTCATATTTTGCTACAACAGTAAGGATATCACCTTTCGGCATTGAAAGGTTTCACGATCCTAGAATAGTCCCCTTTTTCTGTTGCAGGCATTCAAATCTATGGAGCAGACGAAAAGCAAGCAGAGCCACATATTAAAAGCCTGGCGTTATCCGGCCACGGAACAAACCTGCATTGCGCAAGAGAGGGTCAGAAATAATCACTGTGACTTCCTATAACAATGTGAACGGACTAGCGAATGGACTAGCGAACTATAAAAATAAATGCACCAATGGGATGCGCATTATATAACGGGTTATACAAATGGTCACTCATCACGTCGTGCACCCGATACAGCCGAAATACGTGAAATTAGAAATTGCGACGACTACTGTAGACGTTGTCTTTCTACTTCGATTGTCTCCGTAATCGTGACTGGGCTTAATTTAAATATTTTCTGATTTATTTATAAAAATGCAGTCTTATTTGCTTCACTTTGCATATTACCATGTGATAATCGTATAGTATAATTTTACATTTGTTGCATTGACCCCGCTTATTATTCTCAGTAAAATTTTATCTGAATATCTGAATCTGAATTTCAATGGTGTCTGCTTACGATCAGCAGAACTAGTCTATCCTTTTCGATAGACGCAGCAAACAGGCATATGTCGTTTTGTCAGGCATAAACATCAATCATTTCAAACCCACCTCATTTTTGAAATTTTGCACTGTCTTTTCCGAAGCAGTGAGTTTGGACAGTGCTGCAACTTTGTTTTTGCATCGTT